CTGGGCGGGTTTCTGAAGGCGACGAGGCTGCCGTGGGCCGTCGTGGGCGACTTCAACATGTCTCCCACAGTGCTCCAGGCCTCCCAGTTTGCTCAACAGCTCGACGCCGTCATTCGAACGGCACCAGGAGGAGGCGCGCGCGCAGAAAAAAAGGTTTTGATTCTCTGATTGGCTATATGCTCTGCTCACAGTCTGCCATCCCCTTTGTCAAAGATCTCCGCCAGGTGAAGACAGTGGCTTGGGAGCCACGCGTAGGCCTGCATATCACTTTCAGGAGCTCTGGCCTTCAGCTCATAACGAGGGTCCTCGAGCTCCCCGCGAGACTCCCCCAGCTCCCTCGGCCTCGCCCCACCCCCGCCCCAGGCTCCAAGAGCAGCCTCGCGCGCGCGAAGCGCCAGGTGACCCAGCAAGAGGCCGCGCAAAAACGCGATCAGTTTTTGCTATCTTTGGGGGCCGTGTTCAGTCGGAATCTCAGCTAGAGGGCCCCCACGGCGATAGCGCGGCCGAAGGAGAGCCCCCCTCTTTCTCTGAGCTTAATCTTGACGAGTGGCCAGATGAACCTGACCCGTGGGAAGATGGGCCCAATTTCTTCTACGAGGCGACCCCCGCCTCGACCTCCCCCCCCCCACACCGGCTGTCGGTAACCCTTCTCCCGCGCCCAGGTCTGGAACAGCAGCGCGCGCCACCGCTCAGGCTGCCCATGTGTGTTCTGATAATGGCACTGGCGAGCGCATGCCACTGATCAGCCCCCCCCCAATTCGCGCCGGCCCCCCTTAGAACCAAGTCCGAGTCAGCAGAGCGTTTCAAGAGACACCCGAGAGCCTGAGCCTGACAGCACTGGCCCTGGGGCCCCCCCCCCAGAGCCCTCTTTTTTAGAGCCCCCCAAGACCTGTGGAGCAAGACGAGGCCTGAGGTTTTGTTCGCTTCGGGGGCCAGTTGTTTAGAATATGTCACTCCTCCATTACTCAGGTCAATAGCATTTCGGCTCAAAGAAAAACGCTCAGCTTAAATTTCAGGTTTATACTCAGCGTGGGCCACCAAGGTCGAGCGCTCCATCTCCGCGCGCCACCAGGAGTGCGCACCGCGTGTCTCGCGTGCCCATGGTCAGCAGTTCCGCGCGCGACGAGTGCGAGGGATAGCACGCCGTCGACAGCTGCGCCTCAGGGACCTGAAGGCGCAGTGGTGGACGAGGCCGGCCGCGGTGACAGCAGGCATCAGTCGCCACATCGAGCGCGACAACGGCAGTCGACAATTTCAAGATTACCGTGCAGCTGGCTATAAGATGATCGGCGACATCCCTGAGGGCGCGCACACAGTCCTGAGGGAAGGTAGAGACCCTCCGTGGGAGAGCTGGCTTGACTTGCTTCGAGGAGGGGCCACGACTCCAGCGGTGGTCTTAGAATCATAGGTTCGACGTGCACAGCGGGCGGCAGCGAGGGCTCAGAGAGTAGCCATCCACTTATCCTTGTGAGATTACCGTGAATGGATTCAAGAACCAACATCTACTGGCATCCTGCACAAGGCTTTGAAGAAGCAACCGTTACCACCGATTGAAGTGACGACGGGCCCTCTTGCCATCTATCATCTTGTTGACATCATGGACGTAAAGGTAAAGCATTTCAAACAGCTATGGGCGCCAACGCCCATCAATTACTCAGACACGTGTGATTTGTTTAATCGTATTCTCGCAGAGGCCGTCGACAACCCGCTGGAGCCCATCGACGGAGAGAGCATCATCAAAGCTTGCAAGAGGATGAAGGCGAAGGCAGGCACAGGAGTTGACGGATTCACTCCTGTGGATTTTGAACGCCTGCCACCAGCAGGCGTTGCAGAGATGGCGCTGACCCTTGAGGCCATCGAGGATAAGCTCACACCGAAAAAGACCTCGGGCGACCGCGCCATAGGACTTGTATCAATGTCAGGACGAGTCTGGTCAATGATTTGAGAGGACGAGATCCAAACATGGAGCAAAGAACAGGCGATTTCTTGGGACGCAGCTCTGAAAGGCATCTCCTGCCTCCAGGAGGCCTTCTTGAGATCCATCGACGAAGAGGTCGCTCATAATTTCCAGATGCAACACGCGCGTGCGATGCTGGACGTAGATGCCTTCTACGACTCCATTCCATGGCAGCCCTTAGTGGACGCAGCGCTGCGTCTCAAGTTCCCGCCTGTGGTGTTATATTTAGAACTGGTTCAATGCATTGCCCCACGGACATTGGAACAAATGGGCGCTACGACAGAAGCATTTGAACCAAGTCAAGGTGTAGTTCTGGGGCTGAGGGCAGGCACTCGATTTGCCAAAACCCTCACCCACTTCGCGATGGCTCACGTCACGGCGATGCACCCCCGTATGGGGCACACGTTATGGATAGACGACTTGTCTCAGACTACGAGAGGCCCGCGGCGGGCAATTCGTACGCAGATGGCCGAGTGCATCACCACCACGCGTGACCAACTGGCGCTCAGGCAGTTGAACGTGTCGGCAAAGTCGACGATCATGTGCACGCACATCCAGGACGCGAGCGCCATTGTCCGAGCAGTTCGTAGCCGTGGGTTTCAGATCAAAGGAGTGAAGCAAGCAACGTTTCTCGGCATCGATTTTGGCTGCGGTAGGCTGGCTAGGTCGACTTGCAGGCTACGGGATAACAACCATAAGTTGATGCCGACGAAGATCAGGCATTTCGCGACCGCCTCTCGGCAATACCATGTCACCTCCAAGCTCCAGAAGCAAGGAGGCTCACCTGCGGGCCTCTACGGCCACCAGGTCCACGGCGCCTTCGGGCAGCAGCTGGTTCTGGCGAGGCGTCGACTGGCACAGGCATGTTCGAGCGGCAACAGGGGCAGGTGCCTCACCACGGTCCTCGAACCTCAATGCCCCCGAGGCTGACCCAGCCATCAGGATGGTGATCCAGGGGGCTGGCCTCTGGCTCAAGACGTGGCGGGACCATCCCCATATACGTGATGGAGTTCGTCGCATCTGGCTTATGGTTGTAGCTCGACTGCAGGGCACCGAGGCCCCCAACCAAGTTCGACTTGTACGAGGGCCTGTGTCAGCTGTTGTCCTGAACCTGCTGCGCGTGGGTTGGCAGTCAACCTCGCCCAGTGAATGGAGTTACCCCACCAGCGATAACACGTATGAGGCATTGACTTTTCCAGATGATCCATATATTGGCAACCCGCACTTGGACCAACATCAGCATCTGTTACGCGACTTAGAAGCGGCAGCCAGTCACACTACATGGACACAGGCAAGCAAGCAGTATCTAGGTGGCGGACTTAAAGGGGGAGTGGATAATGAATCTTATCGCGCCCTGCTCCGCCATCTCTCCTCTGGCCCGGCGGGCGCAGGCTGGCGGAGACCATGACAATGCTTGCTGCTGCCGGCTGCTGGCCCAAGGTGAGAAAGGTTGAGTTAATCAAACACTTTCAGGGAACAGACCTCTGTGAGAGATGCAAAGGAAAATCAGAGATTGCCCTGCACCGATACTGGGACTGCAGTCACAACAAGGGACCCAAGGCTTTCGACATGAGCGAGGACCTCGTGATTCAGGCCACCACTCAGCTCAACACTGCGGAGGCCTTCTGGCTGAGAGGTCTCATTCCCGAACCGTGGACCCGCGTCCCAGGGCCAGTAGGGCAGGACTCTTGGGAAGCGACGGGCGTGAATGAGGTTGAAGCGGGGTGTTTCGGCGAGGGCTCACGCGAGTGTCCGCTACTGTTTTCGGGAGGCGTCTCGGGGGGGGGCCTGATTCCAGGTCGCCTCGGCTCCGCCGGGTAGGAGTGGATTTTCCTCTTTGACCCCGCTGTGCCTCGAAGCCTCCATACTGGGCCCCCTGAGTGGCCACAGACAGGTAGTAGCTCGTGGAGCAATTATGGCGTTCCATTCAACTCTGTACACCACGCGTGGTTATGTCCTGTACATAACTGATTTTGAGCCGCTGGCCGAGAGCTGGTACTCCAAAGCTTTTCTCACGCCTAGAGGCCCCGATGCGGATTTGTGGGCCAAGATCGGGAACCTCATGAGTGTTAGATGATGTAGCGATATCACCATTCTTTTCACCCGAAGCCACCAGGACGAGGGGGATATAATTGCAGGACGGTCGGTCCGCAGCCTTGTGCTCGCTAACACGGTGGCGGACACCTTAGCAGACAAGGCTGCCGAGTTCGCTAGGATCCCAGAGGCAATTCGGACGAATGTGAACCTCATCGAATATAAGGCCTTTCGGATTCGACTTCGGCTCCTTCGGGCAACTCTTGATTGTTTTACTGCTGAGAGAGCTTTTGCTGTGGAGGAGCGGGATAGGAAAAACGAGGGGGTCCCACCTCCCCCTCCCCCCCTCCCCGCCCCGCCGCTGCTGCTCTCGCCCCTCTTCTCTCGGCTCACGGGCTCTCGGAGTGTAAACGTAAGTGCTTGAAAAGTTTCGGGTCGGCCTCTCAGGCCACAACGGCCGATTGGTGGAAGACCTCTTGCCCTGATCTTGTCATTGTTGACGGGACCATCCTTTCCCCCCCCGTGGGGGCGCGGATCCATGTAGCGGGGGGCTGGCTGCACCAATCCCATCTCCTCAATTATCATACCGTGCTTAAAACCTGGTTTTGTGGGTGTTGCGGGGGTATCGCTGATAAGCAGCTTCGGTCCCTCGGCAAACCCTGTGCGCCCCCCACCCGTACGGGGCGTGAGTATCTCGATCGCATTCAGAATGGGCTCGTCCCAAAGGTCCTCAGCAAGGCCGAACAACAACGTCGGCAGCCAAGGCCTTAATACATATTCTCCCTCTGGTCGTTACTCATAACCTGCATTCGCAGCTGGTTCCTACTCCTCCTCCGCATCCTCCTCGAGGCCGCTCCATCTCCGCATCCTCTTTTTCCTCCTCCACCTCCGCACTCTCCTCCTCCTCCTCCTCCTCCTTCGCCTCCTCCTCCTCCTTTTCCTCCTCCTCCTCCTCCTCCTCCGCCTCCTCCTCCTCCTCCGCCTCCTCCTCGGGGCCGCTCCCTTCCAGGCGGTGCAGCCGGCGGTGGGCGTCCTGACGCGCGGGCTGGAGGCCCGCCCTGGCGACTGGTCCTGCCCGCAGCCCGGGCCCTACGGCTCGCTCCGCGGTCGTCGGGGGCGGCCCGGAGGTCAAGCTCCTCCTCCTCCTCCTCCTCCTCCTCCTCCTCCTCCTCCTCCTCCTCCTCCTCCTCCTCCTCCTCCTCCTCCTCCTCCTCCTCCTCCTCCCCTCCTCCTCCTCCTCCTCCCCCCCCCCCTCCTCCTCCTCCTCCTCCTCCTCCTCCTCCTCCTCCTCCTTCTTCTCCAGGGGCGGAGCGTCCTGGCTCGCCCACAGGCCTACCATTAAGTCGGGCACGTCCCTCTCCAGGAGGACGATTCCGAAATAGTGGAAAAGAAATAGTCGGGGGACGCTTTTTGAGTATTGTTTGGCCAGTCTGGTGTATGTTTGGACTATTTAAAAAAAGTTGTTCGTAATCCCCCTTTAGGGGGACAGGCCCGACCTAAGCCTACGGGCGGAGCGTCCTGGCTCGCCCACGGGCCTACCAACGAGTGGTCCTATAAGAACCTTTTGGGGTTTCGACTAAATGTTCTTAGAGCATTTCTGCCTGGGACCGTCTTGTTTTCACACAGCGGGCTTGTGTTCTAGGAGCATTGTGTTTGAGTACATTCTTGGGTTCTACGAACATGTCGTGGTAGGCTTTTGGGACGGCTGGGACGGTCAGTCCCTGCTCAGAGAGGGGGGCGATGATTAGGGGGGGGCATATCATGGCGTCGGCCATGGCATCTCGCCAGATTTCATGGCGCCGCCCCTGGTCAGGAGGGAAAGAAACGCACAGACACAATGAATCGTCGACTCCCAGGAAAATATGGGACAATATGGGAAGGGGTGGGGAAGACAAAAGCCCAGAAAATATGGGGAAATATGGGGAATCATTTTACTTGTGTGTGTGTATCTATTTGTGTGTCCCAGGGCCCCTTCAAGATTTCATGGCGCCTCTTCTTACTGCGCCGCCCCCGGGCCGCGCACGTGCCGCCGGCCATGATTTGCGCACCCCCCTCTTGGACGCCCGCCTCTTGGCCGCCCCCGAGGTCGGAGTGCGGTGTAGGAGCCAGTCGGGGGTGGACAGAACCCCCAACAGTGACACGTCGATCAGTGAATTGTCCGTTTTCGGTTCTCGAGATGGCGCCGTGGCCGTTATTTTCCAGGCTTGCGCCCGCCAGGTTTGGGCCTCAGGTCGTTTTCACTAGACCACGTTTTACCAAAGGGGGGTCTGTCCATCCCCGAGCCAGGGGAATCGATCGGGACGATCGGAGCGGGTGCGGAACATACGGGCACAGCGACCCGCAGCAGGTCCCGTCCCCTCAGAGCCCCGAATCATAAGGGGTAACTCGGGTCAGGACCAACTCGGGTTCGTTTCTCGAGATTCCAAACCCAATTTACCCCGGGCCCGAGTTACCCCGCATGATTCGGGCGTTCAGAGCCCCAGGTCATCAGGGGTAAGTCGGGTCAGGGCGAACTCAGGTTCTTTTCTCGGGATTCCGAACCCGAGTTACCCCGGGCCCGAGTTACCCCGGATAACTCGAGCGCACAATTCCTTGGAACAGGACCCGACGTCGGTGTCGCCGCGGATGGTGTCCACTCAAGGCAGAAGGCCGCCTGCCAAACAGCGGGCGCTGTCGGTTTGGGACGGCAGCATTTGTTGTCGGGCAATGTGCAAGTTTTTTCCGTAGCAGTTGCGGGCGTCCTTTGGGAGTCGGGGGAATCGGAGAGGAAGAAGCAGTTTCATACACTTGTTAGCCAGCATGGGCCCCCAAAAGTGTGCTTTTGGCAAACTATGTGATGCAAGCTCTGTGGAGACAATTGATTTCCCCAGGAATTCGCAAGAACGCGCAGCACAGCCCCCAGCCCCCCCCCAGCACAACCCCCCTGCACAACCCCCCAGCACAGCCCCCCAGCAACACCCCCAGCACACCTCCCTAACAAACCCCCCAGCACAACCCCACCGCACAACCCCGCAGCATAGCCCCCCCAGCACATTCCCCAGCACAACCCTTCAGCACAACCCCCCAGCACAATCCCCCAGCACAACGCCCCAGCACAACACCCCAGCACAAACCCCCAGTACAACCCCCCAGCACAACCCCCAGCACAACCCCCCGGCACCACCCCCACAGCGCAACCCCCCAGCACAACCTCCTTGCACAACACCCCAGCACAGCCCCCCAGCACAACTTCCCTGCCCAGTCCCCCAGCACAGCCCCCAGCACAACCTGTCGGAATAACCCCCCCTGCACACACAGCACGACCTCCCAGCACAACCCATCAGCACGGCCCCCAAGCACGACTCCCCAGCACAACCCCCAGCACAACCACCCTTCACAACCCCCCGGCACAACCACCCAGCACAACCCCCAGCACAGCCCCCCAGCACAACCCCCCAAGCACAACCCCACAGCACCATCCTCCAGCACAACCTTCCAGCTCGACAGCTCGACCCACCAGCACAACCCCCCAGCACAGCCCACCAGCAACCTTCCCCAGCACAACCCCCCAGCGCAACCCCCAACACAACCCCCCAACACTTCCCAGCACAACCCCCACAACCCCCACACAACCCTCCAGCAAAACCCACCAGCACAACCCTCCAGCACAACCCCCCACACAACCCCCCAGCACACCGCCAGCCAACCCCAGCACAAACCCCCAGCATAACCAACCGCTGCCAAACCCCCAGCACAACCCCCAGCACAACCCACCAGCACAACCCTCCAGCACAACCCCCCAGCAAACCCCCCAGCGCACACCGCCAGCACAACCCCAGCACAACACCCAGCATAACCAACCGCTGCACAAACCCCCAGCACAACCCCCTAGCACAATCCCAGCAGAGCCCCACC